GTGTGTGTGTGTGCGCGCGTGCGTGCGCGTGTATATATATATATATAATATAACGCGCCACGACACGCCGCCGCTCTGCCAACTTGCAATAATATGGTCATTCATAATTTTTATGTGGTCGCCGTCAATGGAAAGCCCCTCTTCTTTCTCCCCTCTTCGGAAATCGCCATCGTCGAACGCTTCAGACACACAAATGTCTTCGACGAGGTCTCCTTCTTTTCAAATCTCAGACGTTTTTCTCTAATCTTCCACATAATGCCAAAATAATTCTTTCTTCTCTAATGGAATATAGAATAATTCTCACGATATTTTTTTCATTATTATAATGTTACATTTACGCGTATATATTCACTTATGATATCGTTACTAGACAAAAGAGAAAAAAATATGTAGATAAATAGTATCGTAAGTGCCAATGTTCCATCCCTGTTTGCGCAAGCACGGCTTCGCCAAGAGTTTCAACTCAAATAGGACTATATCCAAACAGATAAGTACACGCGATACACCGATAGTATCGCGTATAATGTACTCAGATGTGTCCCGATACGATCTAAGTTATGTAAGTCATTTACGTATCATCCTCGTCGCGCTGGCTACGATAGCCATCCGATTATCGATATGATTAAACCGTTACGTCAGCGTGTCGCACAACGAATTTTCCCGCACTACGTCAATTCGTATCGACGTGCGTATATGCGACGTGCGTATATGCGACGATAATGGCAGGCGCTGTAATTATTTGAGGCCCAATAAGTCCACTGACGTGTCTCACGTACGGATTTGTGACGCGCTGTCGCAAATCAACGCACGGAAACGTTACGAAACGTAGTAACGCGGTTGCGCCTGAGCGAAATTATAGTAGGTCGACACGGTAACATGATACTCGCATGCTAGTCCTAGGATGCACGTCGTGGTTCAATCTGACGCAATCGCAAATCTAGATTCTGCTAAGCGGACCTGCAATATTTTGTATGTCTCACTAACGAAAGACCGAAGCGAATCGAAGCGCGAAGGGCGCGGAATCTTCGATTCATCTTCGTCCATAATTAAGTTACGTCGTTGTAGCGTTATCATCCAATGTCTAATCTCGCGACAGTGATAATTAATGTAAACTGATCGCATGTCAAGGCAACACTCGACACGAGAAATCGCACGGAGTATCACCGATTTGTGTTTTCCGCGTCGTTATTTTATTATAACTTTTTAGTAGAAAAATATACACGTATACATCTTGATACATAGATATAATTCAAATGTAATAATTCAAATGTAATTCTCTACCCATCTCGTGACGTCCCTGCGGCTAAATACTGCGGATAATTTCAAGTCCAACAGTGTGTTTTGACATTTCGTCGGCAGGAAATGCCGCCAGTGATATAACAAATTGTAGGCTTAACTGCGGCATCTAGGCGGCTTCTCGATGCATCAGCGATGTCGACGCTTCGACCTTACGACTCGACGCGGACAAAAATATCGCGACGGAATCGGAGAGGATGTGCGAGAACACAAGGGAGCGCGAGGGCGAACAGGGCGAGAAGGTCGTTATCTCAATTAAATTGACCGACGCAGATTAGCAATATGAATTTCACCACATTCTAAATTTAATGCCACCGCGCGGTCGCCACGTTGCAGAAAGCGCGGTTTACGGCTCCATATATAAAAAAAAAGAAAAAAGGAACAGTCGCGTATTTATGGGCGCGACAATTTTTCAAGCTGGAATTAAGTGTGAGTGAAAACCGTATCGTGCAACGTCGCCGGCCATTTGCGATACGGTTCGCCGAGACGGGTCGGATCAACGTACGGCAGATTAATTTGGGCAACGGTCAGTGTCAATATTGCTTCGATTATTTTACATCGAATGTGGATATTTCAGATCTAAACGGTATGAAAATTGGGGAGCGCAACGAAAAGATGGAATAGAAAATGATAAAAAAATAGAAATAAACAATTTTTTTTCGTCATCAAATTCGCCGACGTCAACATGCTTACTACTTATATATCTGTTGACATATTTAGTCATTGATAATAAATTTACATGTCTACCGCTGCTCGTTTATGGTTCATTATTTCTTCAAGCGTGCTACGACACGTTATGCCACCGATACAAGATGATTACGAATATCGAATACGTTGTAGCTAATAAGCCGCTCTTACTTGCTAATGGTTTTAAGATAATGCGGACGATTATGCAAACTGGTAGCCGGTAATAATTTTGATAACTGTAATTTTATACCGTATTTTTAGTTTCTAGCGTACGATTAAAAATGTACTTTTCATAAATAGAATAAATAGAATAAGCTCGCAAACGCGACTCTTGTGTTCTCTCGTCTTGTTTTATGTTATAAAATATACGCGCGGGACGTGACAGATATCAGAGACGAAAAAAATCGCTATGAAAATACGAATGACGAGTTATTGTCTAAATATATCAACATCATATATCAATCATGTGCTAGCGATAAATGCACTAATGTAATTATTTCTTTTTCTAACTACACTGTAAGTGGAATATAACACTTACTGATAAGAGGCTGTTCAATTTTATCAGCACTTTAACAACGTACCATGTGTAAAGTGGTTGTACTCTCGCGTTTGCATCGATATTCCTTCATATCTTCGATATCCGCTTTACTCGCACTTACTTGTGTCAATACATACTCGCGCTCTGTTAGAATTTTTCTCGAGTAATAAGCGTCTCGATTTCTCGCGTAATACTCTCACGCGTAATACAAAATCAATGCGAAGAGGTGTTCACAGAGGTATGTATTTTTTAATAATGGCGAATATAAATACAACGGAATGATGGAGAAGGGCGATAGAGGAGCGGGTACGGGAAAGGACGCGCGTGGTGCACACACCAATTACCACCTTCGAGATACGGTTGAAATGCAGCGGCATGCGATGCTGCTATTATGACAAAAACCTTCGTTGTTAGTAAGACAAGATAATTATTCCGCCGAGCTCGGCTCTTCGATCATTTAGGCGTGGCAACACATGTTCTCAGTTCAGCGCTATGCGCGGCGTATATGCGGGGTATACCTATATACAGCGTGTCAGGACACGTGGGTACGGAACCTCTCCGGCTTGCCAACGGCTATTCATTTTCGCAACCCTCACCTCCGCCGGCGCGGAGAGAGAGAGGGGAAGAGATTCCTCCCTGCGCGAATTATTCGATACGCCTCGCGAGGCCAAAACGAGTTAACGACGCCTAACGACGACGACGCGTCGCACGCATCGTGATTTTAATGGCGAAAATCATTTACCAAGGGAGAGGCCGCCTTTAATACGGCTCCGCGAAAATTAGCCGATCGTAATTTCCGCAAACGATGACACTCTGTCACGGTTAGCCGACGAGAAGTTGCTTTGTAATCGCGCCGACACAATGTTTCGCGTCGCGCGATCGTTACATAGTTAGTATTAAGAAATACATTTGTCGGGCTAAGTATTATGCCGTATGTACGTGTGTAAAACGTACGTGTGTACATGAGGATGCACGCGCGAGAACTAATATATACACGTTACCTAAGCGTTCGATCATTAAGTATTTTTTTTACTTTCAAACAAATGAATTAATGCATCGACGTAAGGTTACATTAAAAAAGAAAAAAAAAAAGAATACAAATTGAATTATCATTAACATACAAAGACGAGAAAATATTAAAATGAGAATAACATTGAATTATTATACCGACTAAATTTACATATAAATCTAAAAAAGAAACAGACCTAATAATTTATCAACAAATTTCGTCGTTTTGTTTATTATCGTAAACATATATATAAAAAAAAACTTTATTTTTGTATGAGTGTAATACATGTGTCGTCAGCAACTATAATTTAGCAGACAGTAGACAGATCTGATACAAGCTAAATATAAATAATATCGCGATATCACATCGACCGTAACTTGTGCAGAAAAATGTGCTTTTCGGCACTGATATTTTTGCTTTTCTGCTTTTAATCGCTTCAGCATAAAATGGAGCAAAAATATCCAGCATTAAAGAATACCTCCGATAAAAATAATCCACGATAATCTGTGCCATGCGGTATTCCTTATTATTGATTATGTTCCATGATACATATTAGTTTTGCGAATCAGAGAGGGACAAAATACGATGTTAACAACGTCGGATCGTTAAAGCAAATACGAGATTCTTCGCTGATTCGATTACTTTATTTTGCAATTGGAAGATCGGTACGATAATATTGTGAACGATACAAACACGCAATAAATAATTCCAACTGCAATCGAAGAAACAGAGTTTCCCGTGTTTTACTAAAACGTTAAATGAAAAGAGGACGCACACACATGACGCTCGTGATACTGTTGCGCGATTCATTTATTTATCAACGAAACCACTTTTTTCAGTTTGCTTATCTGTCTCGGATAATTACCGATTTTTTTAGCTAGACACGAACGTTAAGTGATTTCTTTTTACAGCGATTCTTGATATATACTGAAATGAGCTAGTTCGAAGTGCAAACGAGAATTGCTGATATTAATGACATGATTTTGAATGTTATAACCGCTACGACTTATCAATTTGCTTATGCTGTGTAATCATTGATTCGCTGCATCAATCTTATTAAATCTCGCCAATCGGTTCTTTTCTGGCACGGTATCTCGCGATTCGAAAAAGGCTTTTAATCCTACTATGCATTTCGATTTACAAATAGTCTTTTCGAATACTCGTACATTTATTATACTTTCAAGCAATTTAACATACACGCACGTATATTAATATCAAAGCGAAAATGTTCGCTCGACGAGTCGATCGGAAATGTAGAACATACGGAGTTTTCGATCATAATCGCGCGATCTTTACTTGCAAGTGGACGTGCGTGCATGGCTCCGAGAGATGGATGTTGAAATCTCTCTCTCTCTCTCTCTCTCTCTCTCTCTCTCTCTCTCTCTGTCTCTCTCGGAGAGAGTACGCAGGATCGAGAGAACGCTCACCTGTAGATTTGGCGATCCTCGGAAAGAGAACTGTGACATGATGTGTCGGCCGCTCAGGGCCGTGATGGTCGGGCGCCGCTACGCGATCATCGTTCCAGAAGTCCGCGGCATTCGCCGTGTCCGCCTCAGCTGCCGACGCAGATCACTTCGCGGATCCGTCACACTTTCGCTTTTTTTTTCTTCCTGCCTTTTTCCTCTTCCCTTTTTTTTTCACCAGCGCGCTCGGGGCGAACGCTCACGCGGAGGCGCGCGAGAACTCTCTTTGTCGCGTGTCCAGGCGGGACGGACCCGGCAGGGTGCTACTCGCATCGGCGGCAGCACTCCCGTGCGCCCGGTCGCCGCGACTGGCCGCCCGACGACACTCGAACCGGTCGAAATCGGTGGCGGTCTGTTGCCGGCATATGCACTCGCACTGTCACACGCGGAAACAAGTCGCAACGTGGGGATGACCGAGTGATCCACCGAAGCGGTCCTGCCGTTGGAACTACTATGCGTCGTCGTCGTCGTCGTCGTCGTCGTCGTCGTTGCGAGAGCACTCGCGAAGTAGACCGCGAAGAAGAGTGCCACGGACGACGGTCGGTGACACGATTGTTTCGCGGCTATCACTCCGATCACTCTCGATCGCTGATCGAAGGGGAAACAGAAGCGAACAGGACGAAGGTCCTCCCGAAGGAGAAGGAGCGTGAGCCGCGGTGGTACACCGGACTGTCACGAGTCGCGGAAAAAAAAAAAGATCGAAGGGCACAGAGCGCGCGCGATGCAATGCGTGGCACTTGTCGTGGTAACGCGCGATGCGGTTAGTCGCGGACGGCTAGTTCACTCCGTTGATCCGATCGGCGCGCCAGCTATGATCGGTCGCGACTATCCTCCGAATCGTCGTTTCTTTTCGACGGAATCCAGTCCTCCGCTTGGCGGATAGGAAGGCGGCGAGCGCGAGCGAGACGACCACGGTGAGGGGGAGAACGAGAAGGGTAGACTGGATAGAGGGAGGAGAGAGCGAGAAGGAGCGAGCGCGTATCAGAGGGACGGGACGGCAGGCTAAGCGGGGAATGGAGGGGCTGAGAGGGAAAGAGAGAGAGAGAGAGAGAGAGAGAGAGAATGAGAGAAAGAGAGAGAGAGAGAGAGGTAGAGAGAGAGAAGAGAGAGGAGAGAGAGAGAGAGGGAAAGAGAAAGAGAGAGATGAATGAGTGAGGGAGAACGGTGAGGACGATGTGAATCGCGCACACCGGTCGTCTCTTTTTATCCTCCGCGGTCCTTCCACGCAGCCGGTCGCCTGACAGCCTGCGCAATCACGCGCTTCGAACTCGCGAAAGAGAGACCACGTATGTCTTCTTGTTCCTCCTCTTCCTCTCGCTCGTGTGCCGATCGCCTCTCCTCCGATCGTGGCGCTACCGATCGCACGCGCTTCGCGAAAGCGCCAAGTACAAACTGACGAGAGCAACGCGTGTTCCCGCCGCGTGCACGTCCGCTTGTCTGCTGACCCAAACTGCGACAGGGACCAGACACCGTGTTGTTGTTCTTGCTCCGTCTTATTGTCCCCTCCCGTTTCCCTATTTCTCTTTCTCTCTTTCTCTTTTTCTTTCTCTCTCTTTCCCCTTCACTCTCTCTCCGCGAGGCCCCTCTTTTTTTCATGCGATGTCCACGCGAGAATCCAACTGTACGTTTATTTTACTATATTGATGTTCACTTTCACGCGACTATCACCAGGAAATGAGTTCGCTTCACGTTCACCGGGCGCGATAAGCACTGGCCGATCCACACCATCGAGTGGTAGCTATCGGCGCGACACCCCGTACTTCTCGCGCGTGTCCTTCTCGCTCGCGGAGAAACAAGCGCGGCCCATCGAGGTAAGTCGTCGTCGTCGTACCCCACGTTCCGCGAGATGACCGTTGATCGCGGTGATCGTAGGAGGAGGCGACGGGTACACAGTGCCGGTGGCGCTGGCGGTAACGATAGTATCACGCTAGTGGTGGTGGCCCGATGACGAGAGAAACGCTCGAGACTCGCCGTTGAGTCTAGTGGTGGTGATGGTGATGGTAGTGGTGGTGGTGGTGGTGGCAGTGGCAGAGTCGTCGCCGTGGTTCTTTTCCTTCTACGGAAAGGGGGACGATTTTTGCGAGATGGTTTGCCCTCGGCGAGACGGGTGGGAGGGTCCAGGTCGGTGCGGCGCGCGGTGTGGTGGGGGTACGGGCACCACCTCTGCCGCTGATGCCACGCTCTCGCCGCCACCTCGTACCCGCGCGCGCGAATTCGTACCGCGGGTAGCTCTCGTATTAGCACGCCGGGTGTCGTGCGTGGCTCTCTTCTCTTCTCGCACAGATCGTCGGCATCCTACCTCGTCGATCGGGCACGGAGCCGGCGGTTAGCGTCGGCAAACGCGACAATAAAATATGGTGAGTCGCCCGTGGGGCTCGGCTAACGCAGCTCCCTGCGCGTTTCCCTCCCTTTCCGTATCGAGAGGGGGGGGATTCTCATTCTCTCATCCTTTTCCCTCCTTTCCTCTTTCCGTTTTTTGCCTCTCGCTCTTTCGCGCGACGGCCCAATAGTTTGCTCTCGCTCCCTCGTTCTTCCTGATGCCCCACCGCGTAGGCGCTTTCTTCCCTCTTCGTTCTCAGCTTTCGTTCCCGTGGAGGGGATGGGTTGAATGAGACGGAGAGGGACGCGACCGGCCGAGATGCTGCCGCGCTTCTGTATGGTGGGGCGAGAAGAGTATGAGCGGTCGGTAGCGTTTGCGGAGGGGGTGAACGGAAGGTTGGCGGACGACAGAGTTGGGTTGGGGGGGGGCACGCGGAGGCAGAAACTACACGACAATTTTAGTTCGATAGATCCCGAAGTTTAGCCTCGGCGGCGCTGCTTTACTTGCCGCTGACTTCTTCCCGGTAGTTTGTTCGTTGCCCTCTCTCCCGTTGCTGTCGGCTGCTTCTCCTCCCCTTCCTCCTCCTCGGACACGACCGCACACTCCGACCTGTGTCTCCCACCATCGGAACCCCACCGTCTCGCGTCTTCTTTCTTTCTCTTTCTCTCGCGTCCTCTTCCTCCGCGCGTGAGGACAAGATCGCCGACTACTTCGTACCCCTTCCTGTGTGCCCAGCGTTAGCTCGCGGATGCCGCGCTACCTGCCACTCCTCCTTATTCCACGCACTACGCGACACTTGACTACATAAACTTCCGTCTCTCTCTCTCTCTCTCTCTCTCTCTCTCTCTCTTTCTGTCTCTGTATTCTATTCTCTTTCTCTCGCTTTCTCTCCGTTTCTTCTTGTCCTTCACGCCTCAGATCCGTCCCTCTCGCTCCTACTCGTATCTCGTTCATGATATCCCCGCTCCTACCTGCGACATCGTCCGTCTTCGTTGCTCGTTTACATAGCGAAATGCACAATCGTCACTCCGATGAACGTATTACACGGACGCGTTTACGTGGAGTACTATGTTCCCGACAGTTTAACGCGACGATGTCGCACGAACGTCCCATCGTGTGGCCCGACCGTCAATCTCTCGCAGATCGTTGCACCGAGATTTTCTGCAGAGTTTCGTTCCGTTTACAACGATTTTCACTCGGATTCCGGTAAAACTTGGATTAATCGAACGAGCGAATAGATGAGCAGTTTTTCTACCAATAATCTCTGCAATCTGATTTCAATCATACGGTTAAAGCAGCGCGTATTCCTGCGATGAGCAGACACCAATGAGATAGTCGCAACAACGATGATGAGAAAGACCCTGGCGAGAGAGCATCGTGAAGATGCTTTGCGCAGTTCTTTCAAGGAAACTCGCCTTCTCGCACATACTTGTTCGCTCCCCCAGTGCAACCGCTAACGAAAGGGGCGGATAGGAGCGCTTGAAGGTGGTGGGTCGCTGGCGCAAAAATATACCCTGCCGACCACATTGGTGGGGATTTCTCGCGCGCGGGGAGGGGAAAAAAAAGACTCGTCGGTATTTTTCGACGACTGATCGACGACGCGCGCACACGCGCGTACCTGCCGGCGGCAATATTTTTGCGGAGGGCGCGTACACACACACACACACACACACACACACACACACACACACACACACACACACACACAACAC